CCCACCTTACAATAACAAAAAAGAAAAAAGAAACGGTACGCGCCGTTCACGATTTATCTCCGAGGCTATTTTACCTGCTGTAAGCACGGTTCGATATTATATCGATTAAGTTGTACAATAAGAACCGTTCTGTACGTTCGATTAATGTCTTATCGATATTTAGACCGGCGCATGCGCACTCACTGCCTCTAATGCTCGAAACGTTAGACGTAGTCAACTGAAATTGATATAAAAGAAAAAGAAATCGAGAGGAACGAAATAAATGCAAGATGGCGATGACTCGTGTTACGTATATACGCTGTATATGTATTATATATATATATAGTACACTGGCGATTTCATTCCTGAGATACTTAGCCATGTATCTCTTGTCGGGTTAAAACGTAGTCTCATCGCTGTAGGGTTTTTGGTCTATGGTGCTCAGTCATTATTCATACATACATATATACAGGACGTGGCGTACGCCTAAAGGTGGCTTCCAACAAGACGTTCGGACAGGGCGAAAAATAATCCAGGAACGTGATTTCGTCGCCCTGAGGCTCTGCTGCAGACGGTACGACCGCCTTACCGATCAGGTGTACCGTAAGTAATACCCTGGACGTGTATGGCGGATGACCGGCAATTGCGAGAAAGATTTTTCATCTTTTTTTTTTTTGGTTTTAATACTCCGTCTCATTCCGTCCCAAGAGATGCGCCAAGCGAGTTTAGACGATTCATAGAAATTCCAAGCGATACGAATCAACCGTTCATTCGTCCTGATAAGATTTTAGAATCGTTATTTGTTGTATCTTGTGAATTTAAAGAAATGTATTTATTTATTGAAATTCAATATGATTCTTTATCTTTTACGTATGGATCAATCGCATGCAAATTAATCGGAGGGTCGTTTTTCCTCGTGATATTGATAGCGCGCAATTTTTTGTGGACGGTACTTAATTTCGTAATCTTGCAATATTGCCTGTAGTTATAATATATGGATAAACTGAACTGCCGCAGGACCTCAAGGATTATCGGTACTTCAGTGAAGTACCGGAGGTACGATTAATCGGTACGTCATTTAGTTTTTAATGGAAGATTATATAATATTGTTATGAATGCACACGTGCGATATATATATATATATATATTTATATTTATATTATTTATAGACTCTTATTGGTTACGGCAGACGTGAATATAATTATCATGACGTTGATCTGCCGCTAAGTCAAGCCTGGAGAACAATTTTTTGGTTCGTCTTTTTTTTCTTACATTTTTTTTTCAAAAACATTAGTGAAGCTAGAGAACAAAAAAATTGATTCAAACGTAACGCGCCGAATTTTTTCGGTGCAATTAAAATTTTTTTTTATTACTCATCGAGGACGACAAATGAATCTTGAAAATATTCACGTGGGCAGCAGCTACTTTTGCTGCTCTCACATGGGCGTAGGACGTATGTTAGTTAATTTATTTAAAAAAAAGAGGTTAATCAAGAGAGAACAAGCATCCGTCATGGAAATGGATGCGACACTAGAATTTAGCACGAATTTATTCCATTAGTTAATTCATTACTTCTGTGGACTTGTAACGTAACCTACGCGAATATATATATATATATATTCAAAGAGGACACGACATTAATTACGAATGATCACATATAATTAATCGTGATAATGACGATAATAATATATAATTAACGTAATATCATCAAATTGCAACTGTCGCTAATGAATGACGAAAGCTCACAAGGCGGTTGATGATAAATATATATATATACCCCGTTTACGAGATGATCATCATTATCAAATGACGCAACTCTCATTTATTTGTATTATTATCGTTATTGTCGAAACTTTCATTAAGTTGCTCAATTTTCAAAATCATCGTTTCATTATGTTTATTTATTTAATGGGATAACAGGACAGCCATGCGTACTGGAACTCTTTTTGGGTGTTTGTAATTTGGTTGTTAGAAATTTCAAAATATTTCATTTTGACATTACCTGAATGATCACTAGACTCTATGAGTCAAGATCATGGATCGATACCCCTTGACGCTTGTTCATTCTGGTTACTGAATAAAATAATAATGAAAATAGTAATAACAGTCGCAATTCGAGATTCGACACAAAGTCTTATGCGACAACAGAATTTTTCGTTTTCACCTGCATCCAGATGAAAAATATTTATTACACAGATTGCCAGACTTGATAATGGACTCAGAGGAAGAACATGTAACTGATTTTTTGGATTGTGACTAGTAAAATAAAAAAAACAAATGATTTGTGAAATTAATGTTAAATATTTAAAACAGTGAATGACAGCTGAGTTATTTTGATCAGCGAAGCAAATGAATTTATATTGAGTAAATTGAACCGTTACCATGTTGCAATTGAAAAGAATGATCGGTTGAATTTGTACAATGAAAATTTAGCTAATCAATGAGACATTATCGAGTTTGTATCAAGGAGTGAATTTTGTTTGTGTATATGGAGCATTATCGATTGGCAATTTATTATATACATATAGGACCAAAATAGACTTAAACTGTACCTACATGTATTATACGTATGCTTATCAAGCATCTATATGGATGCTTGATGAAAGTGTCAATCATTTTTATATGAAACTTGCTAATAAACGATTTTGTCAAAAACTGTCTGTTATCCTGATATTCCAAAAACGTATCTGTTCATATAAGGAATTATGATAAAAATATTGAAAAAGAAATTTTGTAACACTAACACATATCTCAAATACTTCTTAACTCTCCTATGCCATTTATCAATAATGAAAATTTGATCCTGGCATGATTGTCGTAGAAGAAAAATTAAGATTTATAAATTAGGCAATTAATAACTCCTTACGTAACCAATTAATACCTAAAATAGACAAATCATACATATGTATGTTCACATCGAAGACCCACAAAGGTCCTAAAAAGGATATTACTTATCTTAACACTTTATTTATTGCTTAATATTGAACCATTAAAAAGTGAATAAAATATTTCGATTAGCATCAAATTGCTGCTTTGTAGTTTTAGCTCGATTAGTCTCATTCGAATATTAGCCTGTTATCGCAGAGCCCTAACAAATAAAGAGCCCGAGCAATAACGTATGTGATAAGTAAAAAAAAGATTCATCTTAAAAATTCATAATCCTTATCATCTATGCCTACCACGAGAATTAAGTAATGTCGCCGTTTTATACATTTTAATTAACGGATAATCACTTGTAAAGTGGTAAACAATTAATTATCCTAAAACATAACGAGATACCTGGCCGAAAATAGGTATGCGTAGATACCACCAAGTCTCGAGGAAAAAATAATAAAAATTTCATAATACATAATTAACTACAATTAATTTATCGCAAGGAGTCGTGTAATCTCCAGCGTCGATTTGATTTGCTACATTGTCTCGTTAACGAAGTGAAAACAGAATGGAGGAAAGAGCGAATAAAGATTATCGAAAACTAAAAAGAATGTAGAAAAAAGTGACAGAGATAGAAGCAAGTATACCTGCTCTCGTCGCGACGTCTTTGATTAGCCTCGATGGCGTCGCCATGTTTCAATCCAATGCTTAACCGTCAAATGAGTTCAAACTTGTCGATCCTGTCGTAAACGTCGTAATTCATTAGTTCATGAGAACGCTCCAAGTTTTCTTAGCGGTATTACATCGACATCGAATACTTCGTGGGGTATACACATGTATAAATATATATATATATACTCACGATCTTAGCGCGTTCACCTCTCTAGAAGCTTTCTCACGTAAAATAGGGATTTGCGATCGTGAGTAGCCGCAAACGGAGATTTCCGACGCCGCAAGACAACCGAACGTTTCTCAGGGCTGACAACGCCTATATATGTATATATATTGTAACGTATTTTCTTAACTGAACACCGCTAGCGAAAATCCGAGAACTAACCTACGTCATCTTCGGCCGACCACCCTTCGTCCATGCATCCGCATGCCAGGCGGACGCCAACCAGATCTTTTTTCACCGGAAACTGACGAACTGGTATGACCTGGGAGTTGAGTTGAAATAGTCTCAACTCCGCCAAAACGAGAGCTCTGCCGGAAGCTGTTAGAAAAGACGATAGCTAAATGTCACTTTTTGGGAACACGTAAAATTGAAAAACGCAACTGTATGCACGAACGGTTACGGAAATACACGGCCGCTCAGGCTGCTAGGCTGAGGTAGAGAGGGTCGAAGTAAGCGTCAGGCAAGTAGTGCCAGAAACCGAAAGCAATTGATCGAGAACGTAACAGACCGAGCCGGAGCTATAAAATCGAAATCCCTCCACCAATTAATAAATTGGGAATCCTCACCGGAGCTGGTTCAGCTAATCCGCGAAGGCCGAGAACTGCATCCAGGGGACACTCGGATAGGCACTGCACTATAGCACAGGAATGCACTCCCGAAACACGGAAAAAATCTATAGGATTTTCTGGATATTGCGAGAACTTTTTATACCGTATAGAAAACACAGATAGAAAAACTATCAACAAAGAATCTGGGAGCGCGAGGCAGCTCGAGGCACCCCGATCGGTGTCTCAAGACAGACTGCTTGGACAACAGTCAAATTCGGGACCTTATAATTTTGATTGATGTAGATCCTTATAGCCGATAACTCTTATCCTTTTTCTCGAGTCATCCCTTTAAACTAAATTAGGCGCGTTTCTCGAAGTAAACAATAGTAAATCTTCCGAGAGCATTAGCGTAACTGCACGAATCTATCCGAGAGCTCAGCTTCTAAGCAGGATAGCGACTCTAAGAGAACGAGACAGCGATAACGTTCTCCGAATCGGTAGCTAGAGTCGCCACGTGGGTCGAAAAAACACGTCACAATATATATAAACATACACAGGTATGCCGAGAGGTAAATCAACAGCATTCAGGCAAATTCCAAGATAGAATGGATTTATTTTCTGATAGAGCCACTGGGAAGAGGATACAACTTGATTTAACGTAAAATTTGAAAATTAGAAACGAATCAAAAAATATGTAACACAAAGAATATAATGGATGAATTAAGAACAATATACTTTGGACGTTCATTTAAACCCAAATTTGTTGTCCTACCTCTCGGCCGTAAGCTATATATAAAATACATTATTCATGGGGATCCTAAAATTGTATGCGATGGTCTATGTATAACCTTAAAAAGGATATCACTAATAATGAAGAGAAATAATGAAAAAGTCCTATAACCAAAAAAATTTTTAAAGATAATCCTTAGGTATTAGAAATCGTGATCTCTTAGTCCCCGTCGTTCTTATAATTTAATAATACGTATGTAACATCCTGGTGTAACGATCTAACGTTCAGGATGCTCGATAAGTCCTGCGAAAGGATTGTCGTTCGGCTTCCTGGTATCACTCGATGACGAGGATACAAGTCTTCAAGGTAAGAATAGTAGCAGTGGTTGGTAGCACCGGTAGTAATAGTAACAGCAGTAGCAACAGTAATAGTAATTGTAGCCATAGTACCTATAGAACCTACAACGTATAGTTGGTCGCGCGGGATACTACGCACTTACGGTACTTTGTACAGTATATTGCACATTGTCTCTCACGGCATTTGCGCTGGCATCAATGCGCTTCAGAGCTTCCGGTCAGCCCTGCTCGGGTGGTCCCGTGCTCGGTTGCTTCTGCATCTGCTGTTGCTGCTGCCGATGCGGCCGTTCCGAGCAACGTACCCGCAGTAACCCATATGGCAGCCAGCCATTGCTGGTAGCGACGGCTCTGTTGTTCTCGCGATTACCAGCAGCAACTTCGCGTTGTACTTGAAGCCGGTGAAGCATCGCGCCGGCTACCAGGGCGGAAATAACGGCGGACAGGGCGACTATCACGAAGAGAGCACTAAATCCTGGCATCGGCAAGCAAATCCCATAAACAACTTCTTCGCGTATTCTACCCTGAAAGACGGTGACGGCTTCTGCGTGGGCATCCGGACTGAACGCTAGATCAGCCTCAGAGATGACTTCGTAGATACCGCTTACGCCAACGTCGGCGCTCCGTGCTTTCCTGTCTGATATCACCAGGGAACGCTTTCGCCTTGTGCTCGTCGTAGAGAGTGGAGTCACGATTACTGGATCGTCTTCGTCGAGGTTCCTGGGTCCGTGTGGAAATTGCTCGTCGGTTTCGTATCTGGTTAGCCGGGGTGGTTCCTGGATAATTTATAGAAAGAGATGTTAGGGTGTATCTTAGTATACCTAGGGAATTTTCTTTTCTACTGGTTATATTTACTAAGAACGGATGAGAGAGCTCGGATGTTTCTGTGCTATCTTCTTGCTGTTGCTCAACAACCGGAGCTGGGATACGATTGCTGGTCTGCGCTTGAGCCTTAGGGGATGATTTCTCTACCCCTAAGAACTGACCACCTATAGACGTCATCTCGTCACCGTTCTGAATGATGTCGTCATAGATCGGCGCGTCATCGTCATGGGACGTTGACGTTGAGGTTGTCTGTGGATACAGCGGATGAACTTGCTGATCTTTACGCTCTTGAAGATAATGACCGATTGATCCACTGAGCTGACAATGATCAAGGCAGCCGTGTCGGCAGATCTCCACCTGTAATATTAATATCGATTAAATAAAATCCATATCGTTAATCCTTATCGCAAAATCTTCACATTGCTCTACCTTGCACTTGATATGGACGCTAAGAGCGTCCGGGAATTTGAATGCGTGGAAGAAAGCGTAAGTGATGATAGTGGCACGATCATCGGAACCACGTGCCTTTAAGAATCGACTAATCATTTTTGGCCTCAAGACGCATCCGGATTCGTCACTCAATTGTATCGTATGTCCACCGCCATCGGAAGCAACGCATGATTTAACACGCATGTCGAATTCTCCTTCAATCAAAATGAAACTCATGAGATACCATTTGATGACTATTACAACATGGGCACAAGGCTCGAGGTCACGAGGAGTTACCTCTGTAATCATTAATGGCGACGACGAGGGTCAGAGTGGAACCCAGGGGAACAATCCCGGAAACCGGTGGTGCCCATGGACCTTTACCGTGCTGAATTTCCATCCAACAGTCCACGTTATCTCCTGCAAGTGTATTAGGTCAAAAAAAATGTGGCTGGGACATGGACGTAATTCACTACAATACATAAGACTGAAATGAAATGGCGTTCCTGCGGTTTGGACTGCGGTTGACCGCAAAGACGAGGGACGCATGACATTTCGATTTTTCACGGTATTGCGGATGCTGTTTCTTTTTGTTCTTACATAACATGCTAGGATTTTAAAACAAAATGGAGGTGTATAGTATATAAGCACTGTACCTCGAAAGTCCAATTGAATTACGTCAAGATCCGCTATGACCATCGGTGGCTTCGACGCTGTCTTCTCGTAATCGTTAAACCATTCGCATCTCAATCGTTTGGCTTCATCCCAAACCTCCAATAAATCTTTGTCGTACTGAACGACGACAGTATTCTCGTAGAACTGACCATGCATATCCGGTTTGGTACCACATCTACAGGAGATATATATATATATACATAAATGCATATACATATGTTTACGTAATTACTCAGATAAATCTTAAAGACAGATACAGAATAAATTTATCTTCTTTAAAACGATTATAATCTTATCATCTTCGTCGTGTACTCATCTCACATCAAGACTTCAGTGATCTTGATTACAAGATAAATATAAAGTACCCAGATAAGGTCGTTTAAGGCGGTTAAAAGGATTTTGAGAAACGACCTCCTATCTGCGAATTGCATCAGCCACTCGTCAGTGTAATTAGCAAGACTGCGTCATAGAGCGGCTAATAGAACAAGCATTAACTTCAACATAATCTGAGAGCGTGGGAAGAGATTTTTTCCAGCGATGCATTATCATCTCAACAATGTAAATTATCTTACGCGTATAACCTATGGCCATTCCTCTTTTTCATAGTTCCAGACTCATTCTAAAACTGAAATTCAATAGTCTTACCTCGCGTATGCTATTCGAAATGAGAAAAATGTTTGTCCGGTGGATGGCGGCACGTAAACGCAACGTGGATCGGCGTGCTGACCCTTGGAAGATACGATGCCCTCAAAGGGATGAGAAAACGAAAGATGCACATCCATATGGTCCTTCCCGCACATCACTTCGAGCGATTGTATCGCCGGCATCCCTTCTGGCCTTTCCAACGGCCAAATGTCACTGCTACCACGTACGTTCTTCAAGCCAACCACCTTGTAGGTAAAGCACAACCGAGAAACAAAAGGATTTAGTAATTCAATGGGAATATGTCCTTCGAGGTTATGTAACTGTTAGTACCTTGCGCGGGTACTATTGCTTGGGGAGGATATTAGTGAATAAATCTAACGTCAACCCTGGAATTTCTAAGCGAACGGTATGCTCCTATGGTAAATGAGACTCGATGCGTTTCTAGTAATGGCCGCCGCTCGATCGCTGGGTAACACAGAGAAATGACATTTCTCACGGCGCGGATATTAAACGGAAAGATGTCGTCGACGTTTTTAGAAATGACGTTTGAGACACGTCGTGAAATCCATGACACGTACGCAGGAGCGTCGTCGATGGTAGGTGTTCCTCATGTATTCCGTGCTCGCGCAATCCTGTAACGGGAGAGGCGTCTTTACCGCTGCATTAACGGTTGCCGTTTTTCACACAAGTGAAAACAAGTTTCTGCGCTCTTACAATCGCACTGTTAAATGACAACGTTTCATTAGAAATGATTACGTATAGGCCGTCCAAGCGCGTCGCGCACGTTCTAGTGTAACTTTGTTTCTCTTCTTTTATCCTTTTTACAGAATCCAGCAACGCGATACCGACTCTGGCGCGATGCACGTCCGTGAGAGCCTCGATGGTTTCAGATACCTTCTTCCCGGAAGTAATGGCGGCCCTGGCGACACTAGCGACTCTGCTGGGATTTTCGTGAAACACGTTAGAGTTATCGGCTGATTTTTCAATCAGAATGTATGACCGATGGATCCTTATGAAAGTCTCGTGGACATATTGGGTAAGTTTTTAAAGATCCGAATAAAGCACCAAGATTTTGCACTTTCGGTACGTCCGGTTCGGATTATAACGAGACACGGAAAACGTGATTGGACGCTGGGATTACGTTTTGGTCTCTGAGCAACGTTGTCGTATATGTATGTATAGGTATACCAAGCTATCGTTGCAATTCTCGACAGTTGGCAGTGGCTTTGAAATTAGTATTCCAAGTTGGCCAGACGTGAGATGAGTTGAGAGGTGAGATTCCCACCGATGCACGTTATTCTACTTCTGAGAAATACTAAGGTCAGTGAGTAGTCATCGGGTTAGCGGACAAAACCTAATCGGATGTGTATTAGATTAATTGAAACTCAAAAAAGGAAGAAGTAGCATTTACTTTACTTACGTAGGGATTATATTGTACCAGGGTTCAGGTTGAGTTAAATGGAATTTTTTTTGTAAATTTTTAACATTTATGGAAACTATGCCAAGAGGACTGTCAACATGGGGGAGGTCGGGGGAAGGGTTTTGTATAATGTAGAAAGGGGTCTTGAGATACGTGTAACGGTACTTAGAACAAGTACAAATGTATCCGCCTGCAAGCTGTCATATTTCCTGCGGTGTCGCCATTGTCCATGGTACCTTCTTATTATCTCTTTGAATATGCGGGTTGGAATTTTTCGAAACATTATTCTTGATTTATTAGTTTCGCATTATTATTCTTTTTTTTCCATACTGATTGACTTTCGCGAAGTAACGGTACACTCGATATCCAGAATCAAATCCAAGGAGAATCATTTGATCTGATCTTATCTAACGGTGCGAAACTGTTTTAAATTTCTTTTTTCTAATGACCATTTCAATATATTCAAAAGTCTCACCATATAGAGCAGCATGCGTAGCAACTTCCACACCCCTGGCATCCTGGAGGTACCAGCCTCTCACGCTGATGCAGGCTTTCCTAAAAAAAAAATATTGATTAAGAAAATCTTCCAAGTTCAATTAAATCATAAATTTTAGCAATAATTTCTTTTTACAGCAATTCAAAAATGCCGGTTATCAATTCAGACTCAAAAATTTAACCAGCCGTACATAGGTCTGCTCACAGCCCAGCCATTTCTACTGAAAAGACACTGACCTCCTGAGTCACTACGCTGACTCAAATCAGTAACTAATAACGATTTCCAAAACCGGAAGTGACATTTTCGAGTATCAAAGTTAAAAATCACAACAAAAAAAATGTTCTCGAAACATCTCCACCAAAATAGACTTCTAATGACGATAAAATATTTTAAGTGCATAAATACCAAGCTGTCAAGTGCTTGTTAAAAAATTGCCCAAGTACTCTTGACATACTTCACGTATGATTTCGCACGCCTAATGATCGACCATCCAAAGCGTCGTAACGGTTACAAAGCAGTACACATGACTCTACAGTGGCATTTCGTTCAAACTACACGACAATAACAGAAACCGAAAAAAAAGGTCTATTGAATACTTCGAAGGTGTCAAAACCTCATAATAATCATCAAGAAACTTCCATATGTCCATAATTTCCCATTTCGATAATTACACTCATCAATAATACACAGTGTAATTGACCCATTATATATTATATAATTACACTCTAAGTCCCATGTCCCGTGTCCCGTCATTAAATATATTAAATTCTTATCAGGCATCCTGCTACGTGATAAGGCATTGCCAATGAATACATAACTAGTTAAGTACCGGTTAATGCACTTCGACCGCAACAACTTCCTAATGACACGGCTACTTGAACACGAAGTTGTTCTACCATCTAGAAACCAAAGCCGTATTGAGTGCTAAACCCAATCAGTCCTGTGACGAAGAGTGACACGCGATGCTCGATCCACGTGAATAGCCATTGGAGTGCATCAAAGTGTCCATCGAAATGTGCAGTTGCGAGTGCATCGAGTAAACATTAATTCCAGAGCGCATGCGCAGAGAAATCAAAATGTTTGAAATCAATAAATTTCGAATCTGTTCGTTGACAGCTGAATTTTTTAATCAATCCGCCATTTTTTTTCGTTATCGATCGTCTCAGATTCCTCAATAACTTTTTACCTCGACCACCTAATTTACAGACTTCTTTCTTCCACCTAGTAGCGAGATCGACCTATTGTGTCGCGTGTTGCACGCTCCTGTGTGCAGCGGCGCGTAACGACGCCTGGCGTCGCTGTTGACGTCGGTGTCAACGCTACTGACAGTCCACTGATTACCCAGTCGTGACGTGCCTCAGCCACGAGCACTCAATCCTGATTTCAAGCTCGTTCGCGGCTTGTTAACCCACGGTTTTTATTCGATTCGATGCATCGACGATCGGTTGACTTTTCGATACGATTTATTTGAATACAGATTTATTTGACGAACGTCTATCAATTTGCGCTACAATCAATTTCAATGATTCACTAATAAATACGATTAGTCATCTAATCACTGTTATTAATGGATAACGAAAAAAAAAGTTGAACGTTAATAGCGTGGGACGAATACTGTAATTTGAAAAAAAAAAGTCGAGTCTGAATAATCGATTGTTAAATCGAACGAGTATCGAAGTGTCAATCGATACTGACGAACGAGTCTAAATACTTGAAATGTATGACGTTATCCAATTGATGCCGGGATGCAATCAATCAACGTAGATAATTGTTGTTTTCATGAGAGACGACTCTGACTCGATATGGCTTTACGTTACGCGATAACCGTCTATTACCGGTGATCGGTTAATGGCTATTAGTTATCCTACAAGTACGTACCATTATATGCGAGTCTTCGCGCAGCTGTTGTGCAGAGCAAGCTGGTTAACTGGTCAATATTGTCCAGGAGTATTATTGAGAAAGAAATTTTAATGGGAGTAAGTCGTGAAAAGAAATTTAATTACGGAATAAATATATACGTAAAGTCGAAATATTACAGTATCCAATGGGAACTTGAGCTGGAAGTGAATACCGATTTACGCTAACTCAATTTTTCGTATAACAAAGACATCGCCGAACCGGATAAACGAGATAATTAGCTTGCGCGGCCGGCAGGCATTTTCACGAGGCCCTGGAGCTGTATTTTGCTGACTCCTGACTCCTGACGTCGAGCAGCGTTCGTTACGGCATGAATCATGCGTGTCAATGGTTTGTGAGGTTGCTAACGTGTATTACCGATGGTACGTATTATTATATACATATATATTGAGGTAGCCGACCTGTCTGGCAAGTAAAGGAAATTACCTATTGATTAATCTTAACAGGATGAGTATGATACAATATTGATATTGACTCGAGCGGAGATTGACATTGGTAATGATAATAATAATGCACGTGAACTCGAGTTGAAAAAAAGAAATGCATAAAAATCATAGCGGCTTAGTTTTTACGCGGGTAAACTGTATGCAGTCCGCCGCCATTGGGCAACAACGTAGAGGAAGACAGTGCTGCCACTCTCGGCGCGCAATACATTCCTGGAATATTTCTCGGGAGCTTCGCCGCGGCAAACACGTATCTTCCTAACGGTTTTATCCCACCCAGTGAGTCTCGCGTGTGATAGATCCCACGCTAATGATTCCTTGTATCACGACTGAATGATTTTTTAACGTGACACTAAGCCCATAGTCCGATTCCACGGTATCCGTTCCTTCTCGTACGGCGTCTTTTCTATGGCGTCTAACCTCATCGCGTGCAATATTTTTCACGATCCGACTCAGCACTCCCCGGTGTGTCCGAATGATTTGTCATGGCTACTACGAGAGGCATCGGCTCTTGCTTTACAGTCAGTGTGTGATTTATATACTTATTGAACTGTGGTCAATGATCCTTCTGAATAATTATCGATTGGAAATGTACAGGAGGTATCGTAAGGTAATTTACGTTCTAGACGTTCTCACTGAACGTGTTTATTTTCTTTTATATTTTTCGCGACTCTTTTTTTGTATCGCTCAGACACTTTATTTCTTTCTTTTTTATTCTCTTCTTTTTCCCTTTTCAATGCTAACAAGTCTCTTGCAACCGTGCGAAAGACGATGCGTTTTCACGAAAACGAACCGAGCGATGACCGACAGTTGAAATTTTCGACCCTGCAATAATTAAAGTTTCATTAATACAGTATCTCCTTGGTATTTCTGTCGCTTGTTAAACTTTCAAGAATACATAGAAAGAATAATACGAATATTTAAACAACCGTTTCGCACCGTGATAATTACACGTGCAGTCCTACTAAAAACAAATCATACCAAAGAAACGTATTGTATAAATATTCTCTCAACCACGAATCAAAATCACGTACCGATTGTAAACACTTTTGACAGAGCGAAGCATCAACGACCTCGAGGTCAGCGGCCAGCTGCAGTAGTGTATCTCATACGACACCAAGGCTCGAGGAGAAGCTCCAGCGACATACCTACACCATCAGTCGTGTTCCTGTGCGGGCGGCAACAAACTGTGTCGAATGATCGAGGTAAATTTCACAGTTTGAAGTTACGTGAGTGGAATTTACAGTGCGTCAGTGGGTACGTGCCGTCTGCGAGAGCGTCGTTTTCTTTTCTTTGAGGTCTCGGCTGGAGAAAAAATGCACTTTCCGGTTCTGCTATCGGCTTGTACAGTTACCTTAATTCGCGGGCGTATCTCGTAACAGATTACACAGGTATGCTGAGTATGTCGCACGTACATATATATATTCATTCATGCACTGTGGATTCGTGCTAATCCCAGACGCAATCAATGCGTCGTTTAATCACTTCCCATAAAAGTTTTCAACACTCCTTATCTCATGCAAGATAATAACTTTTCTTGGATTCTTCATTACTATTCAATATCCGATATCTTATGTACCGCTAATCAAACAAGCATACAGAACTCGTACGTAAATAGACGCCTAAGTAAACTCATTCGATACTGCTTCTGCAGTCGTACTAATTTCAAATTGCCCAACACGTTTATGCTTCCCGAGTGTACTTCATGGTCAATGACTACGTATATCCAAGTCCGACCAAGATAACAGTATCAGTATTAAATAACACAAACTTGTACCCCATAGAATTAATTAGAGAATTACTTTGCGTTCATCACTATAACGCTTACTGTACAAGCATTCAGAATAATTAAGACACCAGATATAACCAGGTCGGATTTAACAAGCTGAACGTAATAATAGGTAATCGATTTTAGATTGTTCATAAGAACATCCACGCGTTACGGCCATTAATGAATTTTTCGTAATTGTTACCTTCGTTTATTATACCAACTATATTTATTATTATACACAGCATATATATATATATATATACACACCGATAAAACTAGTTAAAAATTCGCACAACCCACCGAGGTAATCGGCCTCGCGATTCTCTCCTTCCCGATTGGTCACGTTACATTAATGTAGTCCAATTGCTGTTTAACAACGGGCAATTATCGTGGCTGGAACGTTCTCGAGAATAAGTCGCGGAGCCGCAATGGCCGGCGAGCCGTGTGAATGCGAACGCAATGCGATCATGAATGGAGGTTCGTCTCGCCTCGCGCAACTAACGAGTCACGGTCTACGAATGGCCGACGTAATTACCGCGTGGACACCCGTTACGTGCCAAGCCTTTCCACCTCATTCCATAACCATCCATATCATCTTCTTCGTCTTCCTTCTTCCTCCGTCTCTTTCCTTTTATATATACGTATATCACGCATGCCTAATTCGTTTCTACTTTTCGTGCCTCCGGATCACCAAGTGTGAATTATCTTACTGACTTTTATTACGAGGCGGAACTATTCGAACGTTACGGGTTTAATAATCATTTTCCTTCCACCCTCTTTCTCCCCTTGCTACGTCTTCTATCTCTCTTAATCCTGATCGAAGACCTTCGTCACTGGGGTCTGATAAATTTTTTTATTTTCCTACCACTTTTTCATTTTTTAATTTGGTCATACTGTTCTCAACAGATTATTACGGCTCCACTGGACACGGAGGTGGCTCGTCGTTTACGAGGTGCGAAGAAAGAAACTGAACTGGCCAAGCTATTGAATTACAGTGCTACCAACCTGCCGGCGCTTACGGTGAGTTATAAGAAAAAGGTAACCCTTAATTACCTGCTCTTAATTCTTATTAGCCATTCGTTAGTAATTAATGGCCGGTACGGGCAAGTGCAACCGTCGTATATCTATATGTATAGATATATAGATATGTATTACTGTAAGGGGCAGTCTTGACCAAAGGAAGAAGACGGATAGAAGAACGTTACACGCGGCATGTGCGAATATCGTGTTAAATGAATGTAATAGCATTGCGGGTAATGTATAATGGGACGGATCTATGCCGATACCGGTTTTCATATCCATGCCAGTCGTCAAGCGTAAATGATCGTGTAACCCTACTCCGATTATGTGTGCCCCCGTTTGTCGATGATCGGTAAATAAAGTTAACATCGGGCGCAACCCAAGCGCGACCCATCTGGACGTACAATGATTTCTATATTAACTAATTTATTACCACGTCACGATCCCATTGTTATTATTTAAAATGGAATTGCGCAATATATGCCAGCCGTTCTTATCCGACATATTGACTATGGAAAAATTATACAAAATTTATTGTCAACCCTCAGCTACCTGAGTTCGAAATGTTATTTTTTTTGACGTTTCGAATAAAATCAACAAACTATGGAAAATTATGCCACGTGCGATTCTTACCTCTGTGGGAGACTGTATTTTGATTTGTATCGCGTGACGGAGTTATCGCGTATGTACTATACATAGTAATCGGGTCCTGTGAATATTTCATGAAGTCTTAGAGATAGACGAGGTCTGTCAGGGAGGAGTAATACGGAAAAAAAAGTGTGTGCAAATTTTTTTTCTTCAAATTCAAAATCCATCCTACACGAAAACCGATTACGGATATCGACAATGTAAAATTACCACGTAAGTCGTGTCCTTGAATCATAAGTAATAAGGTGTCAATATTTAACCTCGTATTCGGATCGGGTAAGAATGGGAAAGATCGAGGGCGTTGTCTGTTCCAAGAAGATTACGAGGTATGTATGTAAATTGTATATCTATATACATAAGAATTGATGGAGGGTACGAATTCTCGTTTAATGATTCAACTGGTCCAGATGAAAATTCGTAATAGCTCCGGGCACGTATCCTAGGCCGTAGCCCGTGAGAGAATCGTAAAGCCTCTATCGCAACGGGCTGCAGTGGTCGCTCGTGCGACGCATCCTGGCAGCCTATATAATAAATATAGCCACGTACGTAAATGCTCTGCTAGCGTAACCACCGTCTGGCATGCGTTTACGCGACCGCGAGTCGGCGTACACATATCTGCCAATTGCATAATTGCGTGTTACCTCGCGATTACACCGTGAAACCGGTAACACAAATATTGACCGTACGATCCTGCCAGTAGTATATTCCCGGGAGCCTCTAGCCGTCATGCGCGAACGTCGTGCCGGATCGCACGCGGCACATCGATATATATCGGAGTCGATCGATTACGGAGCAATGCAAAAAGGATACCGACACACGAGGATCGATGGTAATTTTATTTTGACATGCCGGAGACACCGTGATGAGAATTTACAACGAGGGGATAATATTTCCTGACTTTTGTCGAGAGTCGAGAGATCGAAGGCTGAGTGGAAAGAGTTATTTTATTTCGAAAAAAAAAAAAAAAAAAAAAAAAAAATTTTTTTTTTTTTTTTTTTTTGGGTAAAAAATTGTCTTTTTATAACATCGATACCCGGCCATCGATATCTTCGAAAATTTCATTGTATTTGCCTCGGAACTCTTGCGAGCGGGTAAAAAATTGTCTTTTTATAACATCGATACCCGGCCATCGATATCTTCGAAAATTTCATTGTATTTGCCTCGGAACTCTTGCGAGCGTTCGATTCCTCGATTGCAACCTAAAATCGTCGACGGCGACCGTCCAGCCGCAGCCGGTGCCTGTCTCATGCGGGGCCACGTGATATTTGGGCAAAATTGAAGGTACGTTTCGCGTCAGGCGGTAACGATCGTCCAGGAAGAAGGATAACGACAACGGCCACGGCAGTCGAGGTAAAAGCGTCGGTCG